CAATCAAACAATGTTTTCGAAGCATATTTGGAAGTTATTTACTAGAGAAACTAGGCTTTGGAGGCATGTTCTAAAAGAGAAATATATCCAAAATAGATCATTGTTTACACTAAGGAAGAGACCTTTAGACTCAAGCTAGTGGAAGAAAGCCCTAACACTTTGGGATATGGTAATTTAGTCCATCTATCAGACCCCTGGATGCCCTCCTTACCAAATGGGATCCCAAATTTTCAAATCTCTATTGAACCCCCTCCCCAACATTTAACAGTAAAATACCTCATCTCACCATCGGGCTTATGGGAAGATCAAAATCTCAATTTATTCATTGAACATGGTAAAGAACATATCCTTCAAACATTGACTTCATCCCATTTATTGGTTGACAAACTTATATGGAAAAGATCAAAATTTGGGACTGATGTTAAAGCCTGGATACAAATTGTTCATTGCTGGCCAACCATCATCTCCAGGCCAACACATGTAATGGAACCTCATTTGGAAAACCAAAGTTCCTATGGGATTTCAAATATTTATGTGGAAGGCCCAGTGGAATGGTTTAAAGACAAGAGATAAATTATGTTTCTTGCAACTAGGGGTGGATTTGAGCCGAGTCGAGCCGAATATCTAGCTATTCGAGCTCGGATCGCTCATAAACTATCAGGCTCGAGCTCGAGCTCGATTCGAATTAGAAACTTGAGCTCAAGCTTGACTCGAGTCAAAAGCTCGAAAGTTTGAGCTCGGCTCGGTTTGAGTTCAGCTACCTTTGATTGTAGGTCTCCCTTAACAGCTGAAGTGCTGCATTGTGGTCTCCCTAGCAGCCGAGGTCTCCCTTAGTTACTGAGGTTTCAAGCCGAGGTCTCCCTCAGCTCTTGAAGTGTCGAGCTGAGATTTCCCTAGCAGCTGAGGTCATCCTTAGTTGCCAAGGTGCCGAGCTGAGGTCCTCAGTGGTCGAGGTCTCCCTCAATAGCTGAGGTGATGAGTCGAGGTGACATAGGCTCGCGAGCCTCACGAGTTGAGCTTTATTAAGCTCGAACTCAGCTCAATTAGAAAACAAGCCTATATATTAGGCTCAAGTTTATCTCAAAGCTCGGTTTAGACCAAGCCAAACCGAGTTTTTCATGAACCAAGCTCGAATAGCTTGTGAGCAGCTCGACTCATGGCTACCCCTACTTGCAAGAAGAGGACATGAAATACCCTATCTGTCACTGTGAAACTGAAACTTGGCGGCATATTTTCTTTTCATGGCACTATGCTTGTGCAGTGTGGTTCATATCCAATCTTGGTGTTAACCTAGACAAAATGCACAAAACCCTACTCAATGAGTACATAATGGATTAGTTGGCTTCTAAGCGAACTGATGTATCCAAAGAAGAAAAACTTCTCTATGTTTAGAAATTGTTTATACTGTTCAGACTCATATGGGACTCGAGGATGCAGCGACTCATAATAAACCAGTCCCCAATCCGGTTCAGTTAATGGAGAGCATGAATCTCTATATTATGTGGGGGAAAGGATACTGATTCTCAGCATCCTATATACCTACATTCTCACATCATTGCATCAACTAAGTACACAATGTTCATTGATGGTTCTTTTATATATATAACAAAGTGAAAGCAGGAAGTTAGGAATTGGAATTACTATTCTCTCTTCCAAAAATGATTGTCTTTTCGGGAAGCTGGAGAATCTTTTCTGTCAAACCCCCACAAACCAAATGGTGGGCCCTCTTCCATGGTCTTCAACAAGCTCACTCATTGGAATTAAAAACTTTGTTCATATTTTCTGACTTAGAAAGCGTAGTATATAGTTTCTACCAAAATGAAGATGAAGACTGGATTGTCAAGCCTATCACTTTTGCCTTTTTTTGATATAATATGTATAAACTATATAAGCAGAGAATTGAACAAAGCAATATGGACTCCTTATGTAATGACGTTACCTTAGTAATATATGCTTTTTTAGTATCTCACAGTGTTTTCAACCCATTATTGACTTGGCTGGTTGAACCACTCGAAGCATCACCTGTTCAAGATTCTAGGTCTAGATTGAGTAAAACCCGAAGAAGGTAAAAAAAAAAACTATTGACTTAGTCAAAAATCATTTGACCTGGATGGTTGGACCGTTGACCCATTTGATCTGGTGACCGAGTTGTGGGTTGCATACTAACTTTGTATACAAACTTCAAGAGGCCATAACTTTGCACTCCGATGTCCGATGGAGGTGTTTTTTTTTTATTTTGGGTAACTTTTTGAGATCTATGTGTTACAAGCCATGCTATTTTCATGAAAAAACCCCCCTTTTGGCCTCGAATCGCAATTTTCAATATTTTTATAAATAAAAAATAAAAAATTGAATTAAAAAACATAAATTAAATATAAAATACTTCATATATTACATGCAAAACATAATTATACATTATTTATTGATAAAATATATGTTTATACATACATACATACATACATACCTGCGATCCAGAGGCAAAAACAGATCGGCCTCAGGTCGGTTTTTAAAACACTGCTTTCTAAGTTTATTTTGGCAAAATAAAAATAAAAATAAAAAGATTGAAAGTACCAAATTTTGCATACTACGAACATCAAAACTTCATTGTTGCTGTCAGGGAGGTTATTTGGTTATCTTGAGTTGCTCCATTTTTTTAACTAGTGTCATGCTTCCTCGTCTGTTTGTAGACTGAACCAATGAATCTTCCTTATGAAAGGTGGATTCACCTTTGGGTTGGCAATTTATAAAGCAATTTATTCAATCCATTCATTTTGGGCTCGGATTTACTATCCACTAGTTGTTCCCACATCTCCGCCCACGAGACATTACAGCTATGTATTGGGAATATCTCCCTTGTCATTTATGTGAGATGTTCCCAATACATGTTGGTGGTGCTCTGTGGGTAGAGATGTGGCAACAATCTGTGTGTAGCAGATGATGCGTTTTATGCAGTGTGTCAAAATGGGTTGAATCATGGGTAAGGGATGCGTTACAACAAAATTCTTCCAGTCCCAACAGGCCACTGCAGCCACACATTGAGAACATCTCCTTTGTCATTCATGAGAAGATATTCTCATATAGGGCAGCAATGCCTGGTTGGGACATTGTTGAAACTGTGTATTGGTAGTTAATCCAAACTCTTAAATCACCTATTGCGTCTTATCTTATATTTATTTCCATGGGAAATAAGAGGGAAACAGAAGTTTGATGGAAAGTTCTTGTATTAATGTATTTGCTATCAAACCAAACATAGCCAAGTGAATTAGATTGCAGGTTCAAACTATATATACGATACACTCCATATGTGGTTCAAAGTATTGGGTATATCATATCTTATCTTTGGGGTACTGATATGCCTTTTTTAAGGTATCTTTAAAGATACTCTTTTTTATAATCAAATAACATAAAACTAAATAAACCTCCTTGAAAAAAAACTAAAAAAATAAAATGCGCAAGGTTCTAAGTGCCAATACACCCATTCAGGCATATTTAGGTGTATCAATACTTTGAACCATGATTTCTCATTTGCATAATTGCACCTTATAGATACATCTTATAAATATGCAAGGTAAAGGGAATGAGAGAGAGAGATGAAATTAAGGGGGTGTTCACCACCTACGTGAATGTTTTTATTTTTATTTGTTTTTAAAATAATATATTTTTTAAATAATCAAAACGATGTTTATAAATACAAAAAACAAATTTTGTAGTATAGAAATTATATAATGTAGGTTGTAGAAATGATATTAAATAACCAGATGAAAACTGTAAACCAAAAACTCGAAAAACTTGTTTTTGGTTTCAGTTTTGAAAACAAAAAAATACACATGTAACCAAGAATAGTTTTTCTGTGTTTCTATTTTAAGAACCAATTTGTGTGAAGCCTAAAGTGTAGAAGATCCGGATTGAGACAGAAATTATTCTAACAACAAACTACTCCCATAGATCCATGAAGGTTAAAAACGTAATAAAGTGGGTCATTGCCCACTTTACTGAAATGTTAAGGATCACTATATAATGCTCCTCCAACTCTTAGAATAAAAAAAGAAAAAGTTTTATTTTTCTTTAAAATAATCTATAATAGATCCAAACCTCCTGCCCCATTTGTCTTGAAACTCTACCTCTTCTATTCCCTATTTCATTTTCTTGTTTAATCCCCCAAATGATTGTTTGGTTAAACTTACACAGAATACATGTGTTTATGGGTATTACAACCTTTAGCCAAACAAGGGGTTGGGAGAAATCAATTTTTTTGCACAGTTGTAACTTGTGGTTAATACTTAAAGGGGGAGAGATAAGAGGGTTTACCTATCATTAGGGGTGTCGGACCGGTTTTGGGTTGGACCCATCCAAATCAATATTAATTTGGATGGGTTGGACAGACAAATAAGATATATTGAAATTGGATAAGTCCAAACTTAATGGTCTAAAGCATTTATTGGAATTGATTGGTTGAATCAATATCCGGTTCATTGATAGAAGAAAAGAACATAGGTGTCAATGGACCAGGTTTGAATTAGAACAAATCTAAATTAAAACCAATTTGAACAGATTGAATGATCTAAACATTGAATTGGACTGGTCCAAAATAGTCCAAAGTATTCATTTGATTGGACCTGATCCATTTGTAATGGACTCATATCAGACCGGATTGAATTGGACCAAGTCCGGTCCAACTGACACTGACTCTCACTTTCTACTTGTACTCTTACCTTATTAAATTTAATGATAATTTTCAGTTATTGATAAAAAAAAAAACTCTAACATTTATTGTTTTAAGTTTGTTTTGATATAAAATAGCATTAAAAAAATAATCTGAATTCTGAAATCATTATCAAATGTTTCCTTTTATTGTTCCTTCTTATTTGAACACGTTGAATGGCCAAGGCAAATGACTTTGGTGAATTCTCACTCAACTCATCAACAATTCCCTGCTTTCCCCAGTTCTCCGCTCGCCTAAAGGAGAAGAATCAACACATGCATGCGCACACACCAAAGCATCTAAGAAAACCCTTCAAATCCAATAATCTAATTCAAAATCAGAACCAAACAAAGCTTTACAACCATCACTACCAAAGTTCAAGACCTTGGTTATCAAAAACAAAGTGCAAGTGTGCAACAAACAGATTCTTCTCCAGGTCACTTTGATGATCAGAAGATTAGCCATTCCCACATGTAGTTTTTTCTGAAACTGAATACCAAATTACATGTAGTTTTCAATGAATCAGAACACAATTCTCTTAGCCCACCTGTCGTTCACTTATGCCGTAGCCTAAGCTACGACCATCCGTTCAACTTTGGCCACATGGTTCATGTTCCCATTGAAACTGAGGAACCAATGACCTGATTCTTGTTCTTAAAGCTCTACAAGTAAGTTACCGCTACAGAAATTGAGTTCACTTTGACATTTGAAGTTTTCAATTAGACACCCATGAAAGCTCTATATTGAGATTCCCAGTGCTCCTTTGCCTGTCGAATCCTCTCTTTTCTTTCTGTCTTTAAACGTTGCTCCCAATAATCATGGCAGCTGTTTGAAGATGCACACAGAGGGAAAACTGTCAGATGAATGAAAGCAACGCTCAAGAGTCAAGACACTTGAACGCAACATATGGTCTCCATAAGTTGGTGTGGAGCTTTCTTGGAAGGAGGTATGGTTCCAACTTCCAAGATGCAATTTCAGCCTTGTTGACAGTATTTGACATAATGGAGATCCACAGTCTGTAATAATATCACGCTATGAAATTGAACAATCAATCAAAATATACCTTCGACTTAATAGAATGCTAAGCTCCTCCAAATGTATAGCATCTTCGTAAACCCCTGCCTGAAACAATTTGGAAATGACAATCAACATAGTAATATTGTAGTTATTATCCAACAAAAGGAAAAGTATTCCGTTTGCTTATATTCTAGGCACAGGTACTGCACTAACAAGGGCCACGTACTTATCTATTCTAAGCCTGGATTCGCATCATGTATAAGGCATAAAGATAGGAAATTAGGCCTTGAACATTCTGAAATGAGAATTCCTCACTTCTGTGCTTGAGCACTTATAACATTAATTGCAAAATCAACAATACAAGGTGGCACACATGGCTGATATGGACCATCCAACTGAATATATGGCCAATCCACAGGGTCCCCTATCTGACGGACAGTCTGGATTGGCCACAAGATCTACCCACCTGAAAGAAATATGTCAGTTCATGTAGGGAAGCTCACTACTTCTCTTGCGGTTCCTTCAACATGTTCACATGTTCATTTTCTACGACTGCAGTTCCCTCAACATATAATGTTTAGACTTTGTAATATATATTCTTTATTAACTTAAATTATTTGAGAATATCTCCTTACTTTTATATGCTTTGGGTGTTATTACAAAGTTGAATAGAGAACAGGTTTGTTTGCCTGTGTCGGGGGGGGGAGGGATATATTAGACCAAAAGAAATTTAAAAAGTTCACTGTATTTTACCTGTCGACATAGTGGACATTTAGCTTTAACATCTGCTTCCTTTAGTCCTTCTACAGTGGTCACTGATGCAGCAGAGCAAGCACACATGTAACAGAAGATATGACCACAAGTGAGAGACACTGGATCAAAAGCTGTCTCCTGTTACAAACAAGTCAAATGGATTTGTCAGATAATGCCCCCAATGAAATGCCAGTGGCAGAGTCGAGATGCTGGAGAGAAGCATTCTAGGAATTATTCTATTGCATAGAACAACAAGTATACCTTAATACATCCCATAATAATAATCATGCTTGCTCATGTGAATGTGTCTAAGACGCAGTATTGACGACAGGAAAGTGAGTACCCAGGGTACAGTAAGGATATTGAGATTTCCTAAGTTGGCCATTAAGAATTCCAGCAACAAAGATGTGAAACCATGTTATCATGACTGAAGATTGAAGGATGAAATACATGATGCACTACTTCAGACCCATGTGGACTACATGTACATAAGATGTTAGCTTTAATCTTGCAAAACCAAAGTGAAGACTTACCAAGCATATAGAACAACTCAGATCAATATCCAGCTTCACAGAATCAAATAGTGCACAAGAGAGTGATGGTTTGCCATCATCGAATGTGAGAGAACAGTCTTCAAACAACCCTACCACTGCTTGGGACTTGGGCTTGGTTTCCCTTAAGTTAATGTGGAAAGCCATCAACTCACAAAGCCAAGGAGATTGAAGGATCTCAATATGCATACTTTGAGCTTGCGACTTGAAGGTCTGCCCTTGCTTAGAGTAATGAATCTATATTCAGAATGAAAATCAAATAAACACCCATTCGCTAAACCATATTATAGTTACATTGCTAAATTATCAAAAAGGAAAAGCAATACATCTACACATCTTTTGTTGCCAGCAGCAATGAACTGATTTCACTAGGTCCTCCAATGGATTTGAAGGGCAAAACATAACAATTATAATTATTGAGTCATTTCTGCTTCTTAAGATAATGTAGAACTAAGGTATTCAGAATTTCAAGAAATGAACTCATCTCAGTTTTTCCTATACAAGCAGGGATGGCTTCAATTTAGATGATGAAAATTGTGGTTTTAAATACTCTGGAGAATAAAATGAAATGGTTTTTGTATGGTATCCAAACATGCTGCTTGTATTGAAATACATACCTTGTCATATTTCTTTAGGATTTTTCTAATGGCAATAGCATTGATCATGGCATAGGCTACCAGGTCCTTCCCTTCTTGAATCAAAGCAACATGGTTACCTTGTCTTTTGCCTTTAAACCACATAATGTACTTTCGGAAACCTGAGACTAGGTGTAGATCAAGCAATTTCTGTGCACGCTTGTTAAAACAGCCCATGATTTCAGACATTTCCTCGAGAAGGGAGGGAAAGAAGGTCCCATCGCAAACTATAAAAGAATCGCAAACAGAAAATGATTAAAACTAGAAATAATCAGAACAATGACGATAAATCAATAGAATCAGATATTGATAAAGAAAATCAATAAAATCAAAACGGAAACACGTTTGAAGAATAGATATTCCAGCATTTGACTCCCAAGTACCCTGAATTCAGGTCTGACACTTGTGAATTTCCCTTCCTTAATTCATACACATTCTGAATTGAAGGTAAAGCAATGTGTAAATTCATCCAAACCTTTTAACTGTCAAACTTAAGGTGTACCAAAAAGAAACAAACTAATTAATAGGAGAAAAACAACAAGAGAGCCAAGAGGGAACAGGACAAAAATGCAAGGTCAATTATCGCTGCAATTTTCTTCAGGATCAGTTTGGAAGGAGTACAAATACAAATATGTAGAGCACAAAACCTTGTATTTTGTATTATTTTTTGTACTGTACATATTTGTATTTGTACTCTTTCCAAACTGAGCTTCAGTAACAATCAAAGAACGCATGCTTGTGCTTCCATCGTATACTAATTGGGGGGGAAGCTGCTCACGCACGGGGAGGTTCTTTCTTGAGTTCCACTCCTCAGGAGCTGGAGTTCTGAATTTTTTTACATTCCTTGAGAAAGAAATAAGAAAAGAAGAAGAAAACCAAGATCTATCAACCGTTTCCAACATCCAGTGAGCACAAATGCCATCCCATAATCAAACATTGTATCAGTACAATCCCCTATAGCAACTCTGAAATGATTAAGCAAACTAGATGCAGAGAAAACAATGAGCAAGGATTAAAATGAAAGAGGGCATTGAGAGAAAGAGAGAATCCTAATAAAGAAATCCAGCAAACGAAACAAGCAGAGCCAAAACAATAAACAGGCAAATGAACTAAGAAAAGGATACCTGGGCATTTTTGGGGACATGAGGAAACATCAAGGACCTCATCGCTACTTTGGCGTAATTGAAAATCCTTCCTGCACTTCTTCAGAATCTTCTTAAGCTTCTTGAATTCAACCACAGGCAATTTTTCATCCTGTGCTCGCATGTACTCCTGGTACTTCTTACAGAACTTCATTTCCTCTTCCTCTTCTCCTTCTCCTCCTCCCGGAACCCAATATGTACCCTCATCAAATGACGATAGTAGAAGGATCTCTGACGATGGGCTCTCAATTTATTACGTCTAGAGAACCCAATCAAGTTGGATTGTGAGCAAAGATAGATGAAGAGAAGGAAAAGCTCCGAAGCTGATCAAAAAAGAAAGGTCCTTCTCTCTACATATATATATATATATATATATGTATATAGAAAATAACAAACTCTCTATGGTTTTGATGGGATGAAATGGGTACTGAGGATTCGCACTGAAGAAAATTGGGGTCGAAGTGAATGGTACAATTTGTCGGAATTTTATCGCGTAGACGCAGGTCAGTCAGTCAGTCGAATGACGACGAATCTGTTTGATCACAGTACCAAAATTTCAATACAAACTACCTGTTGACACTCTGATCTCGTCAGCGCCTGATCTGTCCATTCTTTTAAACTAAGGAGGTGAACAAATCTATCTCAATACAAACTACCTGTTGACACTCTGATCTCGTCAGCGCCTGATCTGTCCATTCTTTTAAACTAAGGAGGTGAACAAATCTATCTAACCAAATTTCCTACTCACTTTCTCTGCCCACACCCTACCGACAGCACACTGCAATACAAGATGGGATGTGTGATGCAATTAAACGCTGCTAGATAACTGTGGGCAGGAAATCCGGATTGCATAATTGGCCAGTATTGATCCAGACTCCAGCATATCCGAATTCCACAACATCCAACTAATCGTCCAAACAAGGGAAATCCGAGATTTTGGTGAAGTTCATGCGGTTCCAGGAGAAAGAACGATTTCCATGATTCCATCTATCACGCGAACAACGCGGGAGCATTGCTGATTCCACGTGTCTCGGAGCATGTAGCAGTGCATCACAACTCAAATACCCAACCCAACTAACCCCACTTTTCTTTTTTGTTCGATATAGCGGTTTCGTACCATGAAGGATATGAGGGGTTAAAGTCGTAATTTCATTTTTCACGGGTTCTGCTCCCTTCGTCGCTTGCTTGTCGTTCACGGAAGCATAAAAGTAATGCTTTCCCCGAACGGAAATAGAAATCTGGAGATGGGTGGTTGAGAGTGGTGGGATCACACACCTCCACCGATTGCCGTCCCAGCTACGTCTCGCGGCCAACGCCGATACGCCATTTATGATTTATCCCATGGAACGCAACGCATGATCTGCCTGAATTCCGATCTGGATCCCAACCACCAGGAGGCAGGAGTTCGTTTGTTCATCCAGTCTGAAACGGATCGAGAGTCATGCAACCTTTGGATCGGAATAAATGCATCGTTAGTAGTATAAAGAAAAGGAAAGTTTTATTTTTTGGTAGGTTGAACGTGAAAATGAAAAGCAGAAGTCATTAATCGGCCAGTGGAGATTTCACTTGATGCACATGAACCGGGTGATTCCGATATTTCACTTTTTTGGGGTGGCAGGCATAAGCCATAAAGAGACCGTCACCCGTGTGATTTTGGATGTTGGAATAATGGAATTCATCATTACATTGCACACCATTTAGGCTCTGTTTAGTTTGAATTACCTCTCCCTTCTTTTTTATGTAAATGAAGAAATTTAATTTCTTTTACAATTTCCTCTATTCAAATAAAATAATAGGCTTCTTAAATGACCAATCAGGTGGTTGGGGTGGTTTCATTGGTTGGTATCATAGATTATATGAATCATTTCCGCAATGCAAAAGAATGTTTAAGATGTGGTCATAGTGTGAATTAAATTAAGACTATATTGCAATTTATCTTTCACACTTAAATCTCATGAATTGAATTTGGGCCATGGTGGACAAGGTCTGGTTTGGCACGGGTTTGTCTCAACCCTAATTCAAACCTAATCTGATCACCTTAAAATATATAATTTTTGAACTTGATCTAATTCTATAGGGTCTAATCCGGTATTGACCTGATTTGACCCGTAATATTTTAATTGTATTTTTTAACATATTTTAAAAACCTAAAATCCATTAATTTAAACTTTAAAGCTATAGAGTTAACAACCAAAATGTTATAAAAAATACTTTATATACATACAAGATATCATGACCCGATCGAATGAGTCAGCCAAAAAACCAAACCCGACCTAAATCCCACTCGAATTAAATAATCAAAACAATAACCCGATCATAAAACCAAATATATTTACCCTAATTCGGGTCGTGTCAAGTCGTATCATACCATTTAGCCCGACCCATTGACATCCATTACGAGGGATGTAATCTTTTTTTTTTTTTGCAATAAATTATTGAAATACTTTATTTAAAAGTTTCATCTGACACGATGTCCATGCCATCCGACACCATGGTACAGAAGTAACAGAACGCATTAAGAAGATGTGGTGTATTTTCATTCCTGCCACAATTGATTGAAAAGTCTAATCTAAGTACGTTGAACGGTTGAAGAACTTCGTCAATGGAACTCCATTATTTCTCTTCTCATGCTTATCTTCTCATCTTATTTGGAATTTGGAAGAAACAAAGAGAAGAAGTCAGAAGAAGCGTAGGCCATTGAAGGTGGAGGGGCCACTAGACATTGCTGCAGTTGTGACAGCATCATCCGTGATTCCTTATTCCTGGAGAAGTCGGATTAAGACCGTGCTGACATGGTCCTCACAGCCATTTGTAACCATGTATTAAGAATATCATTATACTTATATAACAGTGTGAGAATGATTTTGTGAGGATTGAATCCCATCTCTTTCTTAAAAGTTGATAACAAATTTTCAACTGAAATAATACCATGGCCCTCTTTATCAACAGTGGTTTTTAATAGTTCCTTTTTGAGGATTTTATAGTTCAATCCACCCTTGGGTGAAATTAAGATTTCTAAAGTTGAATTGAATTCTATCCGTGGATTGATGCCAAATTTACAGACAGGATACGGTATTTAATTAATAACTCTTTAAATTAGGTGGAAATAATGGGACTGAATTTTGCACATCAGCTGAGATTATTCAGCTAGCGTACCAATTAAGCCACCACTGAGTTTTTAATAATTAATTAATCCTACTGGATTTGGGAAATTATTTTAAGAGATACATTGATACATGAATGAGGTCATTGGAACAGAGAACCTAAGAACTTGGAAAAAGATCTAGGTTGCATCATGATTTGTTCTTTCCTGGTTCAAAAACTTAAACAAGCCCGTAGATTCTCATATGTTTAGTTATTGAACTCTTTTGTAAACGTCGTCTTCAATATTCCATCACTAAACAACACATCAAGTCTTATTCCAGCTATTTGGGTTGGCTACATCAATCCTAGCCTGTCATCAGCTCTATCTGGGGCCCTTGATCAGGCAACAAAATCTGAATAATAAAGGAAAATAATAAAAGAAAAATGAATGCTTAAATATATGACTATGTCTATATGTACATCACAACTATGCCAATTTTTTATCATATTCTAGGCTGGGGCATGAGGCTGCTTATTTGCAGTTTTATTTATAGATGAATTATTTAATGCATGGTAGTTGAAGAAATAAAGCTAAATGGATTCACATGGTTGCCCATGAACTTTCAGCTTCAGAGAAAATTTATGATGGCGAAAAGGCATGATTCTGGAAGAGCCTTGACCAATCATAATCATCTGTAAATTTTAATAAATATCACCTAATTGGTTAGCATGTTTTTGATACCATTGGTTAGTTATAAGTTTTTCCGATATTATATCTTTTCGGATAATCATTTCAAAGCTTTAATTTTACGGGCGAAGAAAGAAGAAAAGAAGAGGAAAATAAAGGCAAATTCTAAGCCTTCTCTTCAAAAAATTGTTCATAGAATTGTTAGTAATATATAACTAATGAAATAAGACATGTAAATACTAATCCATTGTATCCCTAATCGATAGATGGAACTGGTTCTTCAATGTTAAATATTTGTTTGGCTCATATATCCAAGGTTTTTAAAATCGATTTGGACAACGAACTGGTTAGAGGTCTAATACCCAAGTCTAATAGTCCAATCGTTCGAATCAAATGGATGGCTTATTCTGATAAAAAAAATTAAAAAAAAAAGACCAAATCATTGAATGATTCAAACAATTCAATTGCCCGAATCAACGATTTACTAACTAAATCAACAGTTTTGAACGAAATAACAATTCTGGGATAAAACAGCACTGATCATCTAGCAATTCCCGATTTTTCCAGTTCGGTCCGATTTTGAAAATCATGCATATATAATTGAGTGTATGGATGTCATCAATAGTTAATCCAGCAACCATTTGCTTAGGTTTTCCGTTACGTTCCATAATTATTATTTTAATAGTTTCCTTGTCTTAATCAAATTCCAGACCTTGATAGTGTAGAACTAGAACTATAACACATAAATATAATATACTATTTTGTGCTTCCTGATTGGATCACCTTTTGGCTTTAGTTTGGTAGGTGTGTTGTCATCTTTCTAATTTGACAATTCTATTTATTGCATGTCATCATGGCATAAATGAGCTCAATTGTTTAATACGTACATAAATTGGAAAGAGAGGGGAGGGGATGTAACAAAAACAAGGCTTCTCATGCTCTCCTTGTGTTTCAATTTTAGAAGAAAAAAAAATGTTGCAGCAAAAAGTTGTTTTTTTAACCAGTTTTTCACCCATCACCAAAACCGAAAAATTAGAGATGGCAATTTTCTCTAATCCCATCGGATACCCCGGCTTTCCTGACCCGATGGGATCGAGGATAGGAATTGATAGTGATATCTGATCAAGAACGGAGATAAGGATGAGGAGTGAATTCCCCACTTAGCCCCAACCCTAATTATACATTAAATATATATATACATATAATATTATTTATATTAAAACTTTTTATTTTAAATAAATCTATTTTTAAAAAATAATTTTTATTTAAAATTTCGGAGATACGGGTTCCTAGTGGAAAACCTTTCTTCCATCACAGATCAAGGATGGAGGGCCATTTTTTATCTCTGATGGGGATCGGGTCAGGGGGATTTGTTTCAAAATTGGAATCGAAGACGAGAAATATTGTCTTCGCCCCAAATCTACAGTCTTGCAGTAAGTAACCTTTGGTAATTAGAGATTCGCTCTCAAAAACCAACAAATTGAACATTTTGCTGGTAAAATCAATGAAAAATAAAATGCATAAAACCATGGGAAGGGGAGGACACAAAAACACAGGAATTGATGATGCACAATCCGACCGGTCTTAGCTGTCAACGATCTTGCCTCTGAACTGAGTGGCAGGGGACTTGAAACGGAGGGGGTGAAGAAGCTCCGGGGAGAACCCGGCGTAAGGATTCCGAAGCTCAAGTTAGAATCTTTCAAAGGCAAGATAAGTCAGATAGCGCGAAAGTTAGCATACCTTGTTCTTGGGGGGTAGGGAGCCTTTTATAACCACCTCGCGCACTCACTTCCAGGCTTCTGTCAG